CTGCACGGCTCTGCCCTCTTCATCCTTTGCTGCTGCACCGGCTGCGCCGACCTCTTCGTCGCCAAACGAGCCGATTGGGCTGGCTGGCCCGCTTCCGGTCGTCGTCAGCGAGGAACTTGGAGCGTCGGGCTGTCGAGCCTCGTTTTCAGCTGGTGCCGACGTCCGCGTGGAGAGCTTGTTGTCGGCCTCGGATGGGTCTCCTGCGCGTGTTGGCCGCTGCTCGTGCGAACCCTCCCGCTGCTGCTGCTGCTGCTGCTTTTGCGCCTCCTCTGTCGATACTGGCGGTGGCGATGCCTTCGGAGACGCCGAGGTCGCCACCGTCGTCGCAGTCGTTGCCGTAGGCTGCACCAGCTTGGCAGCGTCGGCTCCGCCCTCCGTCGCCGTCGCTGCAGCGGCGCCCGTCTCGTCAGCCACCTTCCTGGCCTTGTCCTCGGCCTCGCTCTTGAGACGCTTCTGCTCCTCGTCCTTCCTGGCCTTCCACTGCTTCCAGTCCTCGCCTAGCCGCCGGATCTCGGCCTTCCAGTGGTCGCGCTTGCCCGACACCCGCTCCGGCTCCCACTCCTTGCGCTCCACCCTCGACTTGGTCATGACGAGCTGGAGAAAGGCCGGAGGGTCGGAAAAGAAGCGGTCGAAGTAGTGCAGGAGGTAGATGCCGCAGTCGGCGTAGTTGGGCTGCTTGGGCACAATCGCCTTGACGTAGCACGGCTGCGGCGCCTTGTCGAGCGTCGTCCCGGCGTCTTCGAGCTTGCCTTTGTCCTGCGCCTCGAGGAAGAGGTAGGCCCGCAGGTTCTTCTTGACGTCGGGCCGCGCAAACATCAGGCTATCGAACGTGATGATGACCGTCTGCTCGAGGTTGAGGTCGGCACCCGTCGATGCGGTCCTTGCCGGCATCGACGGGCTGCGTGAGCCGTTCGCAAGGCCAGACGCGGGCGCAGGGCGATGGCGCGAGCTGTACGTCTTGCTGTTGCCGGTGCTGGCGCTGGTGCTGGTGGGCCGGTAGGCCGTGTCGTTGGTCGTGCGAGCGGCTTTGTGAGGGCGGCCCGTCGTTTCGTTGACTGGCTCGGGCGGCGGAGACACCGTGCGGCCCGCTCCGGGCACGATTTTGGTGGGCGACGACGGCTTGGCGGCCGGCCTTTCGGGCGAAGCCGACGGGACGGCAGGGCCTCCGCCTACCCGCGACCCCCGCTGAGGATCCCTCACATGGTCCAGCAACGACCAATCGGGGCCGCCTTTTCTATCGCCCTGCTCGTCCAGAAGACTGAAGCCGGAATTGGCGTCGGTACCGCCTGTGGCTTCGGCGTCGGCCTCGCCGTCGGTGCTGGATGTGCCACGCCGTTCCAGGGTATGCCCGAAGTGCCTGCGAGGGATGGAGGACCTCTTCCGCGGCAACGTCCGAGCCGAGGCGTCCAGCATCGTCGAGCGGTCCTGGCTGTCGTCGACGTCGACGTCCATGTCGACCGGTGCATCGCGTGGCCCGACGGGATTGATGAACTCCGTATCGTCGTCGTCGTCGTCGTCGTAGCCGAAGCCTTCCATCGAATCCTCTTGCATGGCGTCACCGCTCCTGGGCAATGTCCCAGTGCGATCGCCATAGTCCGCTCGGCTGACACGCTCGCCTTCGTCCTCGAGCATGCTGAAGCCCGTCGGCCCTTGGGCTTCGTGAGCGTCGGGAGCGGCATCCACGGCCGTCGCAACGGTGTCGTCGCTGGACGAGGAGCGAGTCGATGCTTGATCATCCATCGCCTTGTGCTCCGTTGGATGCAGGTTGCCAGGGCGTTGGTCGATGACAGGGACGATCCTGTTCGTTGAGGGCGGTCGAGGGTTCGAGGGCGGCGAAAGTGACAACCGCTCCAGGCTCGAGCCAACGTCGACGCCTTGGGCGGTCTCGGCGAGTGACGCCGCCTTGACGTCGCCGTGCGCATCCCGCTTCTTGCCGCGAGTCGGCGACGGCTCGCGAGCGGATGAGGAGGCCGCGGGAGCCGCAAGCTCGCTATGGCCGGATGCCTGCCGCGAGTGCTTGCCGCCAGAGCGGAATGGAGACTTGAGATCGATACTGGACGCTGGGCCGGACGCAGGCGGCGGCGGCGTCATGATTGCGTCAGACTCGACGCCCCCTGCCGAAGGGCCGTGGCGCCTGTCGCAGTCCCCGTCATCGCCGGACGAGCCTTCCTTCGGCTGGAGCAGCTGTCGAGCGACTGCCGTCGCGTCGCTGTATTTGAAAGTCTCCTCGGTGTCGCCGGGGTGATTGAGCCTCCTCGCATCAGCGACCCGCGGTCGCCGCGACTCGAGTGCAGGTGTGTCGTCCGACTCGCTGTCGGGGATCCGGCCTCGGTTGCTGCGGGTAACCTTGGGCTCTGGACGCGGAGGGGGTGGCGGCGCCGGCTTGGTCATGTAGTGCGGGTTGACGATGATGGCGAGGTACCAGTGGAAGTCCTCGTTGATGGGCACGACGATGTAGCGCTTGCTGAAGAGGTCGAACTTGTTCGTCCACTTGCGCACGTTGAGGTAGCTCTTGGAGACCTCGAACTCGGTCAGCCGCTTGTAGAAGAACGAGCTGAAGACGTGGATCTGGTCGGCGAGGGCGGGCTGCCGCTGCCGGATCCCGTCGAGCAGCCGCTTGAGGCCGAACTCGATCAGCGTGTCGTTGAGGAATTCGCCATCGTTGAGGCGATCGAGGTCGGACTCGAGCAGCGTGACGGCGCCGATGCCTTCGTACGGGAAGCGCAGCACCTGCTCGTTGCCGGAGCGCTCCGGCTTCTTGGCTGGTGGCTCAGGAGCCGAGGCGAGGACGGACGCCCCGCCGGTCGGGCTCGCCTTGTGCTGCTGCGAGCGCGCGCTGCGGCCCGAGACAGTTGCGGAGGCAGAGGCGGCGGCGTGGCTGCTGCGTGGGGCGCCGTCGACGCGCGCCTCCTGACGGGCCTCGCCGTTTGTCAGATTAAACGTCTTCTCAGACCTCTGAAGGCGTCCGTTGGGCTCCCGCGGCGCCTGTCGTGGTGGCGATTCGGAGAAGTCCTGGCGGTTCTCTCCCGGCGTGATCGCCTGTCGAGGTCGCTTGATACTGCCCGAGATGGCGGAGGCTAGCTGACCCGCGCCTTTCAACGAGCCGGATGTGGGCGATCCCTCGGAGGGCTGGGGCCATCGTGCCGGTGAAGGTTGCGAGGCGATCTCGGTCATGGTCTTGGCCGCGTTCTTGTCCAGTTCATGTACCTCGACATGTGGCTGCGAGTCCCAACTCTCCAGCAGCTCGTCCCAGACGCCTTCTTGCTGCTGCTCCAGCAGGGGCACCAAGATGATGCCAGCCGCGTCAGAGATGGCCTTGGGGTCGAACTCGGGCCAGAACTTGGCAATCGTTTTCAACGTCTGCGAGCCTGGCTTGAGCTGCAGCTGCGCGACGGGATGCCTGTAGGCAAAGGGCTCCGATCGCTTCACGAGCGCGATGTCGTCCTTCGATATCGTGAGCTGGCGCTGCGACGATTTCTGCGTTATGACCAGCTTGAATCGATGATCGACGAGCTCGAGATCGTTGTTCTCGGGATGCGATCGCCAGACGTCGGAGATAGTGAACGACTGGAGGCGGAGGGTCCTGATCACGCCTTGGACGTGGCTGGGCCTTGCACGATCATGATCGTCTGATACTGCCGTGCCCACAATGCCTTGCCCACGCTTCGCCGCGTTGCGTTGACGGCTCGGTGATGTAGTCGCCGCCTTCTCCATGTCCGGCGAGCGTCCGGCCGACCTCGGCCTCATACGAGCTGCTTTGCCCGTTGGAATGCTCGACGAGATGGGCGCGAGTTGGCCTGCACGTAGGGTAGCGCTCGAGGAAGCTGCGGCGGCGGCGGTGATGTAGGGCGCATCACGCTCGCGCCGCTTTGAGCCTTTCCGCGCTCCGGGGTCTTCCCGCGTGTCCTGCGACCCGACGACGATGGGGTCCGCACTCGTCTTCCCGGGCTCGTCCGACGTCTCGAGCTGGATGGGCCCGTTTGGGCGCTGGCCAACGTGGTAGCTCGGTCCCGCTTCCGCGCCGTCCTTTTTCTGTTGCTCGTCGTGCCGCCTGGCGTCCTTCCGCTGCAGAGCAGGATTGATCTCCCAAGGCGACGATTTTGTCGGAGCTGGACGCGAGTCGCTGGGGCTCACCACCTCGACCTCTGGCGAGGGGAAGCGTATGTGCTTCTTCTCAGCCGGCGTCGCTTGGGTTGCCTGCTCCTCGTCGTTGCTGCTGCTGAGGTAGTAGGTGGTTTCGTTCGATGTCGCTGCTGGGGCATGGTGTCGGGAACCGGCCCCATTGGTGGGATACGAGGAGGAGTTGATCGCCTCGTAGTGCCGCACATGGCCGCCGACGACTCCCTGACGAGCGGCCGGGCCCTCGTGGATCCGCGAGCTCCCATCTGACCAGGTTTAACGAGGCGGGATCAGGCCTGGGTCAGATTTGGCCGACCGGATCAGCAAGCCTGGCCAGCTCGACTCACGATTCAGATTCAACGTCGCAGGTGCGCGCGTAGCTTGATTTCGACGCGCTGGACCTGCGGCGGATTCGTCGGGATAGAGGTTGTCCTGCCCGATCTGGCCGTAAGGAAATTTGACAGCAGAGGAGTGTCTGTTGCCCTTGCCCGCCTTCGGGTCAAACTCGCCAGGCTTCTGGATACGCTGATATCGTCGCCGGATAGAGTGGAGAGCAAGGAAAGGGGAAGGCCTCGATCAGCCTTGAGGATCCCACGATCCCTCAGAGAGGCGTGTCTTGGCAACGGCCGAGCCGCAGTGCACTTACGTTTCCAGTGCGTGATGGAGTCGATGGCTCCGGCGCGGTGGCCCCGACGGGGGGTGCGGTGATCTTGGTCCGCTGCCTGCGCGCGAGTTTGGGCCGGGATGAAGATCACGAGTGGAGGTACGGTCAGCGCCTGACTGGACACCCACGAGGGAGTCCCACCTCCCGCAGAGGAGCTCGGCGCTGCACTGGCGAGCACTCACTTGCCTGAAGACGGGTTGCCGTGCAAAGTGCTCATCTTGCCTCGCTCGTGGCCAGTCTTGTACATGTCGCCGTGGCCGGCACCACGGCGTCCAAAGCCGCCGCCTGCGCCGCTCGGCATGATGAGGGCGCGGCAGCTGCGGGAGCTGAGGCGGGAGCAGCCAGAGTCACCCCGTCAAGCTGCCGTGCCCACCCGTGGACGTCGGTGAAGGCGGGTGGGGGCCCTGCTTTGGAGCGGCTGAGGCGATCAGCGGGGCGCCTTGGAGCGGTTCGGTGGTGCCCTGGTGCAGGTTTGCGTCGGCATCCGAGCGATGGCACGCCGCTGGACGCAGTCAGAGGCGCAGCTGGTCGGCAGCGCTGCTGCCCGGGCGAGGCGCCAGGGTGGCGGTAGAGGTCGAGAAATGAAGGATATGATCGAAGGGTGCGACTCGAATTCGGCACAAAGATGGAGTGCCGTCGTTTTGAGGTAGAGTATGGCGAGTCGGAAGCAGTCGGGAGCCCCCTGAAGCGCGGGGGAGGGCCAGCCGGGCGGCTGTGAGGCGGACGCAGGAGTGACTCTGTCGAAACCGCGCTGATGGATGGAGAGCGAGGTCCAAGGCGACTGGCGTCAGATGGATGAAAGGCCGTCGAGCCTCGATGCAGCTTGGCCGATGTGCTGGCAGAAGGGCGGAGGCAGAGGCGTCGTTGCAGAGGTGGTGGTGTGCCGTAGACGGCCGACGGGAACGCGGGCGGCGGAGGGATGTAGCTACTCAGCCAGCCACGCTCGAGCACAACGGGGTCAGACGAGTGAGAGAGAGAGAGAGGGAGGGAGAGAAAGAGCCTCGCGCTCTCACGTTGGCGTCGAGTGGCGGGTGGCGGGTGGCGGTTGGCGGTGGTAGTGATGTGAGAAGCGCAGCGGAGCAGAGCGGAGGGGCCGAAGCAGCGGTGCCGTAGTCTTGGTTGCTACGATCTCGATTGAGGTCCAGAAGTCACACCCCAGCCCACAGCCAGCCCAGCCAGCCAGCCCAGAGGCAGGCTTCAGCCTAGACGCACCCACCACCACCCTTTTCCGCCTGGCCTGCTGGCCTGGCTGGTTGGCTGACGAGCAGCGGCGGCCGCCTCGAAAAAAAGGAAAACGGAAAAAAGGAGCCCCCGAGTCGTAGGCAGGCGGGCAGGCAGGCAGGCGAGAAATCTCCACACCAGCTCCCCCCCCTGGCTTCCCATCGCCGCTCCTCAGTCTGGCTTCTGCCCCCGTCCACGGCCACGTCGACCTTCGCACGTCGAACATCGAACATCGAACATCGTCACACGCGCGCCAGACGGATGGGACAAGATGCAGCTAACCTCTCTCTGTTTCGACTCGAAATTGAGCGACTCGGAAGACTGTGGAGAGGCAGAAGCGCAAAGTCGTGGCCCAGGGGCGCCTCACGAGGGTACCGCCACATCACAGGTGTGACGGCTGCGAGTCCCAGCGATACATGTTCCTGTGGCGAAGCAGGGGCGGGCGCAGACGGCGATTTCAGCACGATACGACACGACATGGTGTCCGCCGCTCGTCTCCACGGGACGGCGACACGGGCTGCCACGAGGATGGATGCTCACCATGCCAGCGGACCCTCGTTGGTGCCGAGGATCTCTTCGCCCGACTCGTGCGGGAACGAGGCGCCAAGAGAGACCAGCGTAGCTGTCTCGAGGCACAAGCGATGACGGGCCAGGCAGGCAGGCAGGCAGGATGGGAGTCGGCACGTCAGCCAGGATCCCTGGCACCGTGACACGCAGAGACGGCCATGGTCAGGATTCCGGACCGACCCCCCGGGGAGGATGCTCACGCAGGAAGTGCTCGTATGTCGGGTGGGCCAGCCTGAAGTCGGCCCTCTTGTCCAGAGTGAGGGCCTTGCTCCATTTCGCCTCATTTGCACTGGTCCACTGATCCTGGAGAGCAGCAGCGGCAGCGGTAGCGGCAGTAGCAGCAGCAATAGCGGTAGCGTCGCTCGATCCGCGGTCGCCGAAGCCGACGAGGGCCGCCGTCAGGGCCGGTGGGAAGGTCTTGGAGTACTCGGGCAGCGTAAGGTCGCCCGTGGCGCGTCGGCGGCCAAAGTCGCGCAGGTTGTGCACGGCCTGGCCGCCGCCGACGACGGCGAAGCCGCGGTCTCGCAGGCCGCGCAGCGCCCGGCCGAGTCGGAGCGAGTCGAGCGGATCCTCGGACCGAGGCAGCGAGACCTGCACCAACGGCAGGTCGTCCGGCAGGGCGCTTGAGTGCGAGTCCGGGCGGCCATCGCCAAAGGCCACCTTGAGTGGCACCCAGACGCCGTGGTCGGGTCCTCGGTGCGTCGGCACCGCCTTGATCCCCCTCGACTCGAGGTGCTCGATGACGGCCGACGAGAATGCGGGCGGGTTGCGCGATGCCACCTTGACCTCGTAGAAGCTTGGCGGAAAGTTGGCAAAGTCGTAGATTAGCGGATTGCTCGGGTCGGTGTTGACGTAGACGCCGTCGGAGAGGTCGTCGGCCTGCCAGTGGGCGCTGACGAAGACGAGGCCCTTGAGCTTGCCCTCGCTGTGGAGCGACTTCATCTCGTCTCCCAGCTTGGCCCATTGCTGGTAGGCCGGATGCGTTCCCATGAACATGGCTGTGGTGGCATCGTGGCGTGGGGACCAGGAGCGAGGGTGACCAGGTCAGAAGAGACAGGGCGAGGGAGTGGCAGGCGTCGCCGTCGCTGCGGTCACTCACTGGGCGGGCCGCCGTGGCTGATGAACCACGACGGGGCCCTCCACGCGGAGGAGGAAGATGCAGTCTTGTCCGTAGCAGACGACATCCTCGCCGTGGCTCGACGGAATGCTAGGGAGGTGTCGAGGGTGGCGAAATGCGGAGCGAGGAGGGAGAGCAGCGGGAGCGCGATGGCGACCGTGAGCAGGGCCAACGTCAATGTCGTCGTGGCCTTGGGCAGGACAGGGGTGGGTCGTCGGTCCGCACGAGTGAGGGGAGGAGGCGCCTGGTCGCTGTGTCGAGTCGGTGTATCGAGTCGGTCGCGAGGCATAGAAGGGGGGCGGTGGCGAGCGAGGCTGTTTGGCTCGAGGTGGGCGAGAAGGCCAGGCGGCCAGGGAGGGCCGAGCAACCTTTATATCTGATAACGCGGCCCTCTGAGCGCGCCCGTGCATGCAGCCGGCGGGCGGGCGGGCGGTGCTGGAGCCAGCCTGGGAGGGTCCAACTCGGGCGAACCTCCCGAGATTTCCTTTCCAGCACAGCCTAGCCGCGACGATAGCCAGCCGCACCCTCGCACCCTCGCACGCTCGCACCTTGACCGTCGGTGCTCCTCACCGGCCAAGTCTCGCCCTCTTCGTCCGCACAACCAAGCAAGCCTGAAACGGTGGCGCGGCAGGCGGTCGGCCGCTTTCCGAGCGCGTTGGGCAGTCTCGGACTTTAGACCCGGCGATAGGCAACGCAAGGGCGCCATAGGAACCGCCGCCCCTTTCCATGGCCTTGCGCCGCCGCATCCGCCGCCGCCGCCTAGACACGCACAACGAGAAAACAGGCCAGGCTTTGATCCCCGGTCGAAGTCTTCGGCAAAGCTCGATCGGGACGGGAGGTCATCCTTTCACTTTGTGGCGACATTGAGAAAACAAAAAGGGGAGGTCAGACCGAGCTGCCCGGCTGCCTAGCTACATACACGGCCATTGGGAGAAGATTCAAAGTTACCCATGGACGGATCAGAACGGGCCCGAATGAGGGCCTTGGACGACGTCGAAGGAGGAGGATGAGTGCATAGGGCATGCTGTGGGATATCTTTGGGTGCGATCGGGGTTTCGGGCTGGACTTCCATGGCAGACGGAGGTGGGGTCGGAGGGTGGGGGGGGGGGAGGGGGGGCAAGAAACTCAAGGCAACAGCGACGAGGACCGAGAGTAGGACCGAGCCTACTCTCGGACACCGATCCGTCCGTCCGTCGCCTGACTGTGGGCTTGGCGATTCGAGGTCGAGGAATGCCCGCTCCCGCCTTAGAACTCGTCGTGGGCGCGCGAAGAGGCCGAGGCGGCGGCGGCCGAGGCGGCGCTGGCGGCCGAGCTGGCGCTGATGCTGGCGACGCGCGCATTCTGCTCGCCCTTGCCCAGGATGTCCTGGACGCCAAAGTAGGCCTGGCGGACGCCGTCCTTGAGGTAGCCAAAGACGCCCTTGTGGGGCACGTAGCGCGCGCGCATCTCGCGCAGCAGCTGGTCGCGCTTCTTGGGGATCTGCTCGACGGGCATGCCGCTCTGCCTGAGGTAGTCGCGCAGCCGGGCGTCGGACCACGCCACGTACTCCTTGGCCGAGTCCGACAGCGACGAGCCGTGCTTCTGCGCCAGCGCGATGAGGTCGTCGCGCTTGGCCTGGAAGTCGCTCTTGATGTAGCCGTTCTGGATGAGCCAGCTGCGCAGGTCGCTGTCGCTCCACGACGACCACAGCTCGCTCTCGGCGTTGGCGTAGTGCTTGTGCAGCAGGTTGACGTACTCGTCGCGCTTGGCCTGATAGTCGCTCTTGATGACGTTGTTGCGGATGAGCCAGTCGCGCATCTGCGACTCCTTCCAGCCGTCGTAGACCGAGTCCTGGCCCGAGTGGTAGTAGTCGCGGGCGAGGCCGAGGTACTCGTCGCGCGTCTTTTGGGCGGGCGAGCGGAGGTAGCCGTGGTCGACGAGCCAGTTGTGGAGGTAGCTGTCCGACAAGGCCTCGTAGGGCGCGTTGACCGTGGTGGCGTAGGCGCCGCGCATCTTGTCGAGCAGCTGGTCGCGGCTGGCCTGCGTCTTGGTCTTGATGACGCCGTGCTTTTCGAGCCAGCTGCGCAGGTCGTTGTCGCTCCAGGCGCTGTAGACGTAGTCGGTGCTGTCGTCGATGGCCTTGGCCACCTGCTCGGTGGCCTGGGCGTAGGCCGAGGTGGCCGTCTTGCTGGCGTCGTTGAGCACCGAGGCGCCGCTCTTGCTGGCCGCCGTGGCGGCGCTCTTGGCCGACTTGGAGACGCCCGAGGCGCTGGGCGCGTTGCGCGACAGGCTCGAGGCCGAGGCGCGCGCGTCCTTGGACAGGCTCGAGCCCGAGGCCGAGGCCGACTTGGAGACGCTGCTGCCGGCGACGCTGGCGCCGCTGTAGGCGCTCGAGGCCGACGCCGAGGCCTGGCTCGCCAGAGAAGAGGCGGATTTCGATGCCGGGTAGTAGAGGTCGGTGAGCGCCACCGACGAAGCGGTGCTCGAGGCCTGGGATGCGTAGCTGCTTACTGCGGACTGGACCGAGGCGGCGTAGCTCGATGCGGCATTGTACTGCGACGAGGCGGCGGTGGCAGCGGCTCCCGTCGCCGACGAGGCCGACGAGGCCAACTTGTTGTAGTCCTGCTTGGCGAGGACCACGAGCTGCTCGCGCGTCGACGAGGGCGAGATGACGCCGCGCTCGAGGAGGTAGGATCGGAGGCTCGACCTGGGTGAGTAGGGAGGAGGCAAGGAGAGGAGGGGCAAGGTTCGGGCCGTCGCCGTCAGCACAGTGCTCCAATTGGGACCGGGGCCCACGGTTCGGCGTCCGTGGTGCACATGTTGAACCGGCTGCTGGCCCGCCTGGTTCTCTATCGGGAACCGACAATGATTCCGCTGCGCCACTCACTCGGTCCACGCATCGAAAGCAGCGTCAAACGCCTTGGCGCCGCCCTTTGTCGCGTCCTGGATGGCATCGGCCGAGACCGACTGGGGTCCCGAGGCGATGGCGATGCAAAGCGCCAGGAGGCCCACGGAGATGAAGTTGGGCTTGACCATGGTGGCAAGCGGAAGGGCTGGGTGAGTGGAGTGCTGAGTCTGCAAAGGGGCGCGACGGTGCGAAGGTGCGGAGGTGCGGAGGTGCAGCGACGGTAGAGGAGGCGGTGGGGGATGGTGGTGGTGGTCCGGAGGCAAGGTGTTGAGCAAGTGCGAGCGAAGGGATGGGCCAGAGATGGATGGACGAAGCGGCTGGGCGTCGGGTGGCGGGGCAAGGGCGCTCACCAGCCGTCTATAAGCGGAAGTTCAGGAAGGGCGAGGCAGGCCAGAGGCAGGCTAGGCAGCGGCCGGCCGTGCGTGGCGCGGGAGGAGGCAGGAGGAGGTAGGCGACTTGATGCGATGGCAGGAGCCAGCCACCGAGCCAGGCGGGCAGGCTAGGGCGGGCATGGCATGGCATCGTCAGGGTCGTCACCGTACGTGGGCAGGCAGGCGCTGCTGAGTTGGCCCTGCAGCGCCCGGCCTCTTCTAGCCTGGCTGTGGGCCTCCATCATCGCGGCCATCCAAGCCAGCCTCGACTGACAAGCAAGCAAGCAAGCAAAGCGCGCGCTGCTGAAAGCCTAGCAAGCTAAGCTTGCTTGTTGGCTGCCTCCGCACCACGTCGAGCCGCAGGCAAGCTCGCTTGCCACCGGGTTGGGGCTGCCTGCCTGCCTGCCCGTGCGTTGCTGGCCAGGGTTGAGCGCGCACCGCCCCGCCGCTCGCTTGCGGATGCCAGGTCGAAGGGGGCCAGAAACGGGCGGATTGAGGCCACGCCCGCCAAGCCCAGCCATCATGACGAGCAACGAGAGCGACGAGAGCGACGGCGAGCGACGGCGACGATGCGATCGACGTTGGTTGAGCTGCCCAGGCAGCGCAAAGTGAATCAGCATGAGGCACTCTGTTGTGTCGACGTCGAGCCGCTGAGCTCCGCTGGTGTGCTCGCTCGCTGCTCGCGACTCTGCCAGCCGCCAGAGCGAAGCAAGGCCAGGCCAGGCAGGGCAAGGCAAGGGTCAAGGCCGGCTACGCGGGGACAGGCGAAGGGGCAAGCAAGCAAGCAAGCAAGCAAGCAAGGCCACGTACGTCTTCCCAAAACGGTGCTCAGATCAGGGCGGAGCGCTGCTGGGCAGAGGCGGGCGTGGCAGCCCAGGCCAGGCCTGGCAGGCGGGGCGAGGAGCTAGGAGCGAAGCTGGGAAGGACCCTGGCCTAGCACTGCGCGCGTACTTTGCCCGCTGCAGCCAGCCGACGTCATCGACCGAGGCAGGTGGACCCTGCCTAGCCCGCCTGCCTGCCTGCCCGGCTGCATCTGACCCCGCCTGCCTGCCTGCCCGGCCGTGTCCTAGGCCTGCCTGCTTGGAGGGTCCACGGGCCCCGTTCCGGATCCGCATTCTATGGGACCCTGATGGCCACCCAGCACGTGAATCGGGGAAGACCTCGTCATCTTCCCCGATAGCCACTCTCCCGATGCTCTGTTTCGGCCTCCGCATGCTGTCCTCGTGGCTCCTTGCTTCCCTCCCGGCCTCCGACAGGCCATCATGCTGCCCTCCATCGTCCCGGGTCTGCCAAAACGTCTGCACCTTGTCCTGTCTTGGGGATGCGTCTGTCAGGGAGTCGTTGGAGTGGTGGTGCTGGTGAGGCAGGCAAAGGCGGTTTCTTCGACGCCGACATTTTGGGCGCATTTGATTCTTATTCTTTTTTTCCTTCTTTTGCTGCACAGTGGCTGGCAGGCCTTTTGGCGCCTCTGCGTGCTTTCTCCAGCCTACAGGTGGCCTTGAGCATGGTCGTGTTACGGGTCGCATCTGAAGGCCAGGATAGAGAGCGAGAGGCTAGCTGCCACAGTCGATGCTGCTGTGTCCTCGGTCGAGGCTGTTGTTGGTGCCGGCCTGCTGGGCGGCGTTTGGCCGAGCGCGTGGTCTGTGCAGGCGGCGCCCCCCTGGGAGCGAGGGGCAAAGCAACAGGCAGGCCGGCAGCGCCAGCCAAAGGGCCGAGCGCCCAAAGTGAGGCCACCTTTGTCGACTAACCCTACCTACCTCGCCTTGCCTGGCCTGGCCTTCGTGTTGGCTGCGCGCCGCTTTGTCCTCCTTCTCCCACCTCCATCACACCACACCACCCTCTCCCTCACCTCTTGGGCCCTTCTAGGTCGTGACGCCACCGACACTCGAACCCGCCCGCTCGCAGCCGGCCAAGCAACGGCAGTCACTCCGCCATACTCTGGCGCATCGCTGCCGGGGCACCCTACCCCGCACGAGTAGCAACAATCAAGAGGCGGCTGCGGATTCTGTAGCGCCGCATCGCTGCATAAAGCACAGTCAGAGGCTCGAGCGCAAGGTCAGCTCTATCTACGCTCTAGCGTGCTCCTTGTCTTGCCTCGCAGCGCCATCCCTCGCATCACGCACACGCACATGCACAAGCATCCCTCCCTCGTCACCCGCATCCTCGCCCGCTCCATCCTTCTACGCCCATTACGAGAACAACCACCAATCGAACACGCACTTCCAAGCCCTGCCTCCCTGCTTCCACCCGTCATAACCCTAGACAGCCGCAAGACGACCTCGACGATATAGCATACCGCCTTTCGAACAGGGTCAGCCCGACACTCGGCCAGGACCGCGACGACGACGGCTGCGGCGACTGCGGCGACGACGTCCTTCGAGCTGCGATCCGAACTCGCATCGTTGCTACTCTGCCGCCGCCTTGACCTTAGCACCTCCTCGCAGCACAGGCCCCTCTAGCCTAGCCTGCGCCAGCCACTCCCAGCCCATACCAGATCAGACCAGTCTAATCTGAGAGCCGTGCCGTGCCGTCTGGCGGCCGCTCCGCTCTGTATCCGCATCGCTGACGACCTCTGACGACCTCGAGACCGACCTCTGCTCGCACCTTACGACCCATCGACCACCAACGACCGCCACGACGCCGACGAAAACCGATCGAAATAGGCGGCCCGCTTCGGCCCCCTGGCATTCCGCACCTCTCGCCTCCGCCCCCTCCCCACTCTTGGTCTGGCAGCAGCCCTGACTTCCGTCGAGCATCGCCGTCCCCGCAGCCGCCTAGCGCTTCATCTCGTCCCCACCGCCTGCTCAGCATCCCGTATACCACCACCCACATCGCTTCCGTACCCCCGCTCTGTGATGGCCTCGACCCAGCCCGCCCATCCCGACCATGAAACGCTTCTTCTCCCGCTTCTCGACCACCCCGTCAAACCCTCCGCCCCTCTCGCCCGCCCAGCCCTTTGATCAGACCTGGGAAAAGAGCAGCGACCTGCCAACCGACTTTGCTCCGGGCACCAAGCCGGCTAACAACAGCACCTCTCGATCCACCGGACAGCGTGTCAAGGCGCTCGCCGCAAAGTACGAGTCTCAGGCCCAGACCGCCCCAAACGCTGCTGCTGCTGCCGCCGCCGCCAACGACAACCCCGCCTCCGCCCCTGCAATTGCGGGCCGCGATGGCCAGGCGAGCGACGGTCACAAGCCTCTGCCACTACCTCCGAGCCTCGACCTGCGTCTCTCTCCGCTATCCACGTCCAATGGGCTCCTACCGCCGACCACCCTTGTCGGCGATCCGGAAGACGCAAATGCAGCCCCGGCGCCCGCGCTCGACGGCCTCGGTCTGAGGTCCACGGCCGGGAGCGGGCTCGCCGCTGTCGATTCCAGGCCGACTCGAGCACCGCCACGGCGAGCACCGAGTGCCCCGGCAATTTCAGCGCAGGGCGCCGTTGCGTACCACGACGGCACATCCGGCACTGTATCCGCGGTGGACGAACGCCACAGGCAAAAGGACCAGCGTCAGCCGAGCGGAAGTAGCCAGGGCAGCGCCCATGCTGCGGCCGTCCCCAAGTCGGTCGCATTCGCACCCTCTCCCGAGAAACCATCGCACGGCAGCCAGCACGGACACGGGCACGCGCCGCCGCCTCCGCGATCCACCTCGCCGAGCCCCGCCTCGCACAATCTCCTCGCGGCCCCGGGTTCGCGGCACCTGTCGGCCGATGGGGCATCTCGCACGCTCAGCTCGCCGGCCGACAGCGGCTACACCGGCAACTTTGCAAGACCCACCGTGGCCAGCCAGGCGCGGGCGAGGTCCTCTGGCCGCCTCAGCGGTAGCGAGGGGCTCGGCTGGGGGAGTGCTTCGGTCAGCGCAAGCAACAGTGGCAACGGTGGCAACGGTGGCGGCGGTGGCGGTGGTGGCAGCAGCAGCGCCTCGGCGACGCCGGTCAACGAGCGGCCTCCGAGCCTGGTGGCCCCGCGCTCGGCGAAAATGAGCCGCGCCAATTCACTGCAATCGTCGGCCCGACGCCAGGCAAACGGCGCCAATGCTGGGGCCGGCAGCGATGTGGAAGGCGTGGCGGCGCTGACGATCTCGTCGCCCACGATGATCGGCAGTCCTGCCTCGGCGAGCACCTCCAGCCTCGGTCATGGCGGATCGCCGCACGCCCGCTCGTCGCTCGAAGCCAACAGCATCCCGTTTGCGAGCCTAGGGCAGCCGGCTCCGCCCGCTCTGCGATCCTCGAGCCCGATCAGCTTCGGCACGCCGGCATCGACGCCCATGCAGATCACCGGCTCTGGTGGCTCGTCCTCGGGCCATGCCTGGCGACCGGACAGCCGACGCGGCAGCTTTGCGCCGAGTTCGCTGGGGAGCGGCAGGGACAGCCACATCTTCCCGTTCGGGAGCATCGGCGGCAGGCAGTTTGGCGTGCCGAGCTGGAGCGAGATGACGCAGGAGGAGCTCGTCCACAACCTCGGCCCGCGCGAACGGACACGGCAGGAGGTGCTGTGGGAGATTGTGGCGAGCGAAGAGAGGTGACTGTCACGCACGGCCCGCGGCCAACGCTCGATTTGGAACGTCTTCTGACCGGATCTGACCCCTTTTTACCTCTCCATCCCCTCGTCGTCTTTTCGGTTGCGATCCGTCCATCGTTGCAGGTACGTGGCCGAGCTGGAAAAGGTCAAGGAGCTCTACATCGATGCGCTTCTCCATCCGGACCAATTCGATCCCGAGCGCCTGTTCGGGCCACCGACTGCGCCGCCATCGACAACCTCGCCGAGCGACGCCGTCTCGCCGCGCATCGACACCGCCCTCGTCGGACCGCATTCGCGGCGCGAGCGCGAACCCACGACGCCTTCTGACTCGGACCCAGCGTCTGGACTGGCTCTGGACCTTCCGATCGCCGCGCGCTTCATGTCGGGCACCGCCCCGTCGATGCGGACCGACGAGGATGGGACCGGATCCGCTTCCGGGCACGGCTCCTCGCTCTACCGGATCGACTCGGCGGCCCAGGCCCAGGCGGACCGGCATAGGGCGGCCGGCAACCGAAGCCCGTACTCGGTCGGGCTTCTCAACTCCGTCGCCGCCACCGCCGCCGCCTCGTCGACCTCTACGCCGGTTCAGCACCGGCCTGCAGACTCGCGCCGCAACAGCCTCACCGGCCAAGGGAGTGCAGGTCGCAGGGGGGCCCAGGGCGCTTCGAGCCGCAGCAGCTTGGCTCACGGGCTGGGACTCGGCATCGGGCCCGGAAGGGCGTCGACCGCACGCGGCACCGTCGCCGCTGCCGGTGCCACGGAGCCGAGCAGCGCCGCCCGGCCGAAGCAGTCGCGCGGCTCCGCGGCGCTGTCCAAGGTGCAAAAGCTGCGCGACCGGTCGCGCGCGGCGGGCGAGGGCGATCCGATGGTGCTTGCGGTGCCGCTGCCGCGCTCGCTCAAGGCGGTGCTCGAGTCGATCTCCGAGGGCCTGGTTGAGTCGCACGCGCTCCTCTCGGACACACTCAAGGCTCGCTACGAGGAGCAGTGGCCGCTGGTGCGCAGCCTGGCCGACGTCTTCATGCGGTACTCGTACATCCTGCAGCACTACGCGGCCTACGTCTGCCACCTGCAGCGCGCGCTCGAGGAGCTCGAGGAGGCGGCGCTGATGGAACGAGCGATGCGCGGCAAGCGGATCAAGCGCGAGCGCCTCAGCCACACGGTCGGCCTCGGGCGCACCGTCTCGGCGCTCGAGGCTGCCGCGCTCGAGCGGGGCCACGGTGGGCTCTCGATCTTTGTGTCGATGCCGTTCCAGCGCCTCCTCAAGTATCCGCTGTTGTTCCAGAACCTGCTCTTCCACACCGACCCTTCGACGCACGAGTTTGAGAGCACGGTGGCCATGGTCGTCGAGGTCGAGCGGCTGGTGCGCTCCATCGAGGACGAAAAGGTGAATGCCGAGGAGCGGGACAAGACCCGCGACGCATTCGCCCGCATCGAAGGGCTGACGGACCGCCAGATCCTTCGACCTCGGCCCGATCGCACACTGATCGAGGAAAAGGCCCTCTACGACGAGAGCCAGCGCCGCACCGTGTCCGAGTCGGCCCCCAAGGACCTGCTCGGGGCCGCCGGTGCTGGCGCCGATGCTTCCGACCACGAGGGCCTCGCAGGCAGCGGGACCGACACGCCGTCGAAAATCGGCGGCGGCGGCTCCAGCCGCTGGAACACTTCGCCTGGCCTCCGCGCCGCGCTGCGCAGCAAGCGCTCCTACCGCAGGCTGTCCGACTTCCTCTCGACAGAGGACAAAGGCGGCGCCTCGACCAAGGCGCCGAGCATGGGCAGCAAAAAGGACCTCTGGCTCGTCCGCTTCTCGGACGTCGAGATCAAGTGCCAGCGGGTGGGCGTGACTGCGCTGCCCATGGTCAGCTCCGCAGCGCTGACGCTCGACGGTGCCGGCGCGACGGCCCCGACGGCGACGTCGACGATGGCGGCGACCACCGACGAGGAGAGCGCCGAGATGGACTTTGCCCGCCGCAGCAAGGAGAGCAAGGAGCGCCTCAAGGCGTTGCGCTCGACGACGCTGCGGGCCAAGACGCGCAACCTCTACCGCTTCGTCTCGGTCGTCGCCTGGAGGACGGCTGCGAGGCAGGCAGGCGCGCCCGGTGTCGAGGGCGACGGCGGCGGCATCGATGGCCTGCCCACGTCGCACGAGGTCGACGAAGAGAACGAGGACGACGGCCTGTCTGGCGACAGCGACTCGGCCAGCAGCGACGGGCGCAGCAGCGAGAGTACGTCGAGCGGCGACGAGGCCGATGGGGGCTTTGCGGCGCCGAGCCGGTACGTGCGCCAGTCGAAGCTGTCGTTCTCGTACTGGGGCGACAAGGTCGAGCCGCGCATCGCCGGAC